CGAGGACTGAGGGGGAGGAGGGGCCGAATAGGGAGAGGAGGAAGGGGCCGAGGACTGAGGGGGAGGAGGGGCCGAATAGGGAGAGGAGGAAGGGGCCGAGGACTGAGGGGGAGGAGGGGCCGAATAGGGAGAGGAGGAAGGGGCCGAGGACTGAGGGGGAGGAGGGGCCGAATAGGGAGAGGAGGAAGGGGCCGAGGACTGAGGGGGAGGAGGGGCCGAATAGGGAGAGGAGGAAGGGGCCGAGGACTGAGGGGGAGGAGGGGCCGAATAGGGAGAGGAGGAAGGGGCCGAGGACTGAGGGGGAGGAGGGGCCGAATAGGGAGAGGAGGAAGGGGCCGAGGACTGAGGGGGAGGAGGGGCCGAATAGGGAGAGGAGGAAGGGGCCGAGGACTGAGGGGGAGGAGGGGCCGAATAGGGAGAGGAGGAAGGGGCCGAGGACTGAGGGGGAGGAGGGGCCGAATAGGGAGAGGAGGAAGGGGCCGAGGACTGAGGGGGAGGAGGGGCCGAATAGGGAGAGGAGGAAGGGGCCGAGGACTGAGGGGGAGGAGGGGCCGAATAGGGAGAGGAGGAAGGGGCCGAGGACTGAGGGGGAGGAGGGGCCGAATAGGGAGAGGAGGAAGGGGCCGAGGACTGAGGGGGAGGAGGGGCCGAATAGGGAGAGGAGGAAGGGGCCGAGGACTGAGGGGGAGGAGGGGCCGAATAGGGAGAGGAGGAAGGGGCCGAGGACTGAGGGGGAGGAGGGGCCGAATAGGGAGAGGAGGAAGGGGCCGAGGACTGAGGGGGAGGAGGGGCCGAATAGGGAGAGGAGGAAGGGGCCGAGGACTGAGGGGGAGGAGGGGCCGAATAGGGAGAGGAGGAAGGGGCCGAGGACTGAGGGGGAGGAGGGGCCGAATAGGGAGAGGAGGAAGGGGCCGAGGACTGAGGGGGAGGAGGGGCCGAATAGGGAGAGGAGGAAGGGGCCGAGGACTGAGGGGGAGGAGGGGCCGAATAGGGAGAGGAGGAAGGGGCCGAGGACTGAGGGGGAGGAGGGGCCGAATAGGGAGAGGAGGAAGGGGCCGAGGACTGAGGGGGAGGAGGGGCCGAATAGGGAGAGGAGGAAGGGGCCGAGGACTGAGGGGGAGGAGGGGCCGAATAGGGAGAGGAGGAAGGGGCCGAGGACTGAGGGGGAGGAGGGGCCGAATAGGGAGAGGAGGAAGGGGCCGAGGACTGAGGGGGAGGAGGGGCCGAATAGGGAGAGGAGGAAGGGGCCGAGGACTGAGGGGGAGGAGGGGCCGAATAGGGAGAGGAGGAAGGGGCCGAGGACTGAGGGGGAGGAGGGGCCGAATAGGGAGAGGAGGAAGGGGCCGAGGACTGAGGGGGAGGAGGGGCCGAATAGGGAGAGGAGGAAGGGGCCGAGGACTGAGGGGGAGGAGGGGCCGAATAGGGAGAGGAGGAAGGGGCCGAGGACTGAGGGGGAGGAGGGGCCGAATAGGGAGAGGAGGAAGGGGCCGAGGACTGAGGGGGAGGAGGGGCCGAATAGGGAGAGGAGGAAGGGGCCGAGGACTGAGGGGGAGGAGGGGCCGAATAGGGAGAGGAGGAAGGGGCCGAGGACTGAGGGGGAGGAGGGGCCGAATAGGGAGAGGAGGAAGGGGCCGAGGACTGAGGGGGAGGAGGGGCCGAATAGGGAGAGGAGGAAGGGGCCGAGGACTGAGGGGGAGGAGGGGCCGAATAGGGAGAGGAGGAAGGGGCCGAGGACTGAGGGGGAGGAGGGGCCGAATAGGGAGAGGAGGAAGGGGCCGAGGACTGAGGGGGAGGAGGGGCCGAATAGGGAGAGGAGGAAGGGGCCGAGGACTGAGGGGGAGGAGGGGCCGAATAGGGAGAGGAGGAAGGGGCCGAGGACTGAGGGGGAGGAGGGGCCGAATAGGGAGAGGAGGAAGGGGCCGAGGACTGAGGGGGAGGAGGGGCCGAATAGGGAGAGGAGGAAGGGGCCGAGGACTGAGGGGGAGGAGGGGCCGAATAGGGAGAGGAGGAAGGGGCCGAGGACTGAGGGGGAGGAGGGGCCGAATAGGGAGAGGAGGAAGGGGCCGAGGACTGAGGGGGAGGAGGGGCCGAATAGGGAGAGGAGGAAGGGGCCGAGGACTGAGGGGGAGGAGGGGCCGAATAGGGAGAGGAGGAAGGGGCCGAGGACTGAGGGGGAGGAGGGGCCGAATAGGGAGAGGAGGAAGGGGCCGAGGACTGAGGGGGAGGAGGGGCCGAATAGGGAGAGGAGGAAGGGGCCGAGGACTGAGGGGGAGGAGGGGCCGAATAGGGAGAGGAGGAAGGGGCCGAGGACTGAGGGGGAGGAGGGGCCGAATAGGGAGAGGAGGAAGGGGCCGAGGACTGAGGGGGAGGAGGGGCCGAATAGGGAGAGGAGGAAGGGGCCGAGGACTGAGGGGGAGGAGGGGCCGAATAGGGAGAGGAGGAAGGGGCCGAGGACTGAGGGGGAGGAGGGGCCGAATAGGGAGAGGAGGAAGGGGCCGAGGACTGAGGGGGAGGAGGGGCCGAATAGGGAGAGGAGGAAGGGGCCGAGGACTGAGGGGGAGGAGGGGCCGAATAGGGAGAGGAGGAAGGGGCCGAGGACTGAGGGGGAGGAGGGGCCGAATAGGGAGAGGAGGAAGGGGCCGAGGACTGAGGGGGAGGAGGGGCCGAATAGGGAGAGGAGGAAGGGGCCGAGGACTGAGGGGGAGGAGGGGCCGAATAGGGAGAGGAGGAAGGGGCCGAGGACTGAGGGGGAGGAGGGGCCGAATAGGGAGAGGAGGAAGGGGCCGAGGACTGAGGGGGAGGAGGGGCCGAATAGGGAGAGGAGGAAGGGGCCGAGGACTGAGGGGGAGGAGGGGCCGAATAGGGAGAGGAGGAAGGGGCCGAGGACTGAGGGGGAGGAGGGGCCGAATAGGGAGAGGAGGAAGGGGCCGAGGACTGAGGGGGAGGAGGGGCCGAATAGGGAGAGGAGGAAGGGGCCGAGGACTGAGGGGGAGGAGGGGCCGAATAGGGAGAGGAGGAAGGGGCCGAGGACTGAGGGGGAGGAGGGGCCGAATAGGGAGAGGAGGAAGGGGCCGAGGACTGAGGGGGAGGAGGGGCCGAATAGGGAGAGGAGGAAGGGGCCGAGGACTGAGGGGGAGGAGGGGCCGAATAGGGAGAGGAGGAAGGGGCCGAGGACTGAGGGGGAGGAGGGGCCGAATAGGGAGAGGAGGAAGGGGCCGAGGACTGAGGGGGAGGAGGGGCCGAATAGGGAGAGGAGGAAGGGGCCGAGGACTGAGGGGGAGGAGGGGCCAAAAGGAGAGAAAATGAAGAGTTTTCTAAAATGCCTTTGCATTTCATTTGAGATCTTCCGAGATCTAATGTCCTTATATTCATTTTTGTTTTTCTGATTAAAGCTTGGCTCAGCATCCACTCTGTACTGTCTAGGGGTCATTATTTGTTTCCTGTTAAAAGGCTTAGTTTTGTGTCTCCATGCAAATTTACACTGTGAAGTGGCTGAAAAAGGAGCAAAGATGAAGGGGCGTGCACAAGACAGAGAAGAAGTATAACAGAAGGTGGAGTAATAATCAGGTAGGCTAATTAAACATGCACAAAATACGGCCACACACACACATTGAACAGCAGCTGTGCACTGGCTCATGACAAAGTCACTGTGTGCCAGACTGTAAAACCACAAAGAACTGGTAACTTTGAATACAAACTAAGGAAGATTATATATGGGAGGTTCAGGAGTAGGACTATACCTTCAACACACATCATTTCCCGTCCTTGTCTATAAATACTTCTCAACTCAACTCAACTCAACTCAACTTTATTTATATAGCGCTTTACCACAGCACAGCTGACCAAAGCACTTAAGATATACAAATATAAAAACAACACATAAAAAGCTATAGACAGTAATATAAACACTAACACCACGGACAGAGTGTCATTCCTGGTCAAACGCCAATGAATAGAAGTAGGTCTTCAAATAAGACTTAAAAGTGGACAGTGAGGGGGCCTGCCTAATATAAAGCGGCAAGGCATTCCATAGGTTTGGACCTA